CTTTTATGATCCAAAGGTTTTGTTCTGTGCAACAATGAGCATCCCGTACTGCGTTACCTGGTGTGCAGAGGATCTGAACAGGCCAGTTGTTTTAACACAGACCGTGGGGTAGTGACGGTTGTGGAAGCAGACAATACATGGACTGACATTGGACAGGTGAGTGAGAATCGAATCAGTCCGTTCGTTTGCTAACCTGGTATCCAGTCTATCGTGGTTGGTCGGGTTTTCGTCGGGGCTGCAGGAGCTCCTCCCCGCCCGTCTCAGCTAGGTTCCCCGGTAGGTTTTTCACGGCAGGAGTTTGATTAGGCCACCAAAATTCTATCACTCCTACGGGCGGTCTGTTGAGCTGGACGGGGAAAACTCTATCAGAGCCCCGAAGACAGCCCGTCCCGACCACGGTAGACCGGATACCATTCGTTAAGGATCCCAACACCTTTATTGATAAGAATATGGGTGACCTGGTCTTCTTTGCCAAATTCCTGTTGACGTTACAGACGTATACATGCTCTCCCACTGATAAATGACCAAACATCAATGTTCCATCCGTCATAGGTTGGCGATAACGTGTACATGATCGGCCCCTGTGCGAAGACGGTGAAGGTGAAAGAACAAGCACCTAACCTCCGCTTCCTCGAGCGTGGTGAAACTGTGCCCCTAGCGGTTTCCACGGGCACAGCAGACCATGGTAACATCACTGTCAGTAGTGGTGATCACGCACCAGTTACCGAGAGCGACATGGAACAATACCCTAAGGTCGTGACAGTTGTTGAAGAGGACAAAGGGGAGAGAGAAGGGCCAGAGGAAAGTGGCTCAACCGGGCATCTACTCACCACGACTGATCTGGGAGACACAGACAACCACCAAGACCAAACTGACGACGTGTACCCGAGTATCCAAGACGCCGTGTCGTCGTAAGAAATGCCTCTGTAGGCCGTATTTGCACATAATGGTGTTGAATCTTAAGTACGCATTGATTCGAAAATAGACTGTTTTTAAGGTAAATGACATGCTTTCAGATGGTGTAGTTATCACAAACGTTTACCGGCATTTGGCATTATTTGCTATATCGTTTCTAAATGGAAACATGTTGGTCACTTTATTTCCAGAGAGAAACTACGAAGAAGACATTTTTAAATCTAGTCAATAGTAACATTTATTCATGATTATCATACTGAAAGCAATCCTTATTTCTTTTGTGCCTTGGTCTAACTCCAGCATTTGCAACAACAACAAAAACTTCACTGTACGCATTGTTTTCACCAAGATCTTTCACAGTAGCAAAAGCTTTAAACATACCAATCCTAGTACAAAGTTATTTCAAGCTAAATACATTCCATTTCTTTCACTTTTGATATCAGTGAATTTATTTCAAGCTTTTGTAAGATTCAAAAATTAAAAACCATGAAGCATAAGCATCTAACAGCAACCTTCCTTAGTTGCTTTCCTGGAGCACATATGATAACTCTTTGCACATCATTACAACATGCCTCAACGGTAATGTTGCTGTCAGGCAGAAAGACCAGAAGCTGCCATGACAAAAAGAAGGAACATTGAAAAGCTGGTGAGCGTAGAGACTTGGGCAGTATCTGCACCACTACCGGGTGCGTTCGTACAGTCTGCATACTTGTCATAGTCGACTTCCTTGATGGCACACAGTTGTGCCACTTTGCACTCCTCGTCACACGTAGACCGGTCGAGGCTAACGGAGTTGTACAGGTAGTACTTCTCGAAGTTGTCGGATGAACGGTCGCTGAAGCTGTCCAGGAGGTTCTGAAGTGATGCCGGCGAGGCGTCGGACAGGTTGAAGGTTTCCCTGAGGCTGTACTCTCGTCCCCACAGTGGAGAACCCTGCATGTTCGCCAGAGCCAGGTTGGAGTAGTACTGGTTTACATCCTAGAGTGGGGGAGGGGGGAAGTGTGTTATTCGTGACCAGTCGCAAAGAATATTTCTGTCAATGACATGCTGAAACAAAGAACCAATTCGTGACCCTTTTACTATAAAAATGTCAGAGCTGCAGATGTTTGCAATTGATGTGACACAACATGCTTCCATGATAACTTCTCTGAACCAAATTTGAACGTGGTTTTGAATAGAGCAATTAGAAACCAAGAAACCAAGAACAACGAGGCAAAAGCTTCATAAACAAACGGAAACTCAGCATTCCTGAAGTAAAGATGCAACAAATCGTGCATTAAAGCTCTGATATGCAAGGTGTAAAAATCGCTTGAATTTGGCATCAAAGAAGCACCGAACGAATGAGTTGTCCAGCTCACGACACTGACCGTTAGATCTCCGGTGTTCTTGTTGTAACTGACCAGTCTGATTCCCGGGTTGTTCCCGCCAACTCCGTCCAGCGTGGTGGTCCATGGGGTCACGGCCGGGGCCAGCAGCATGGAGTTCACGGCCCTGCCTGGGACACCAACAAAAATATGTTCAATGCACTTTCACTGTAACTTTACCGTAATTCGTTTTCATTTACAACAAGTAAAATCTGAGATTTTATACCTCCGGGCTTTTCTTGTATATTTTTATATGTTGTTTACAACAACAATTGTTGCGCGCCGCAGGACTAGGATTTTAAACAAAGAATTTATCGAGACCGGACACCCCTCTGTGCGAGGGGTCACCTTCGTGGACGAGACCGACAATACCTAATACACGCCAAAGGTCAACGGTCGCCACCACTTTCACGCTCAAAGGGGTGTTCTGGGGCCACCATGAGGCACCATTTTCACGCCCGAAAACACATATACAATAAAAACAAAAGAACATGCACCATCTACAGCCCAATAGCAAAACATATACTGAGTCCCAAAAGAATCCGTCCACCCAAACGTTAGAAACAGCTGCGAACATGAAAATCTAAATCTCTCACAAAACCCTTCCGCGGAAGGATGTCTGCTCCCCCGGAGGTAATGATTTCAGATAATTGATTACTTCGTTTATGTAGACTGGATCCGTTGATTAGGTTTTTCCTGTGTCCTTTCTTTATGTGTTAATAAACTGTATATGTGAAATGGAATAAGAAAACATGTACATGGACTATAACAACATTATTTCCAATTAGAATCATTCTTCAGTGAATAATTTCATCATGTTGGTGGATGGTTGAATAGCAAATATCGCAACCACTAAGTTTAACTAACAGGAGCCGAAGCTTTATTGATGGCTGACTGTCATCTTCATAAGGCCACACCAAGTAAATTTTATGGATGACGTCCGCGCGCGCATTGATTTTGGCCTGTTCCTAGAAAAAAACAAACAAGAAATTTTGCTTCCTGTAACTATATGACCAAAGAGTCACGACAGTGCCGCAAATCGTCAGATTGACGTGAAACCCGTAACACGAAAACTGGACAGGACGACAACTGCTGTTCCACCTGATTTATTGCTGTTTTGATGATGAATAAAAGACTTCTTCCTTGTTACACTGTGTCACCTCATTCAATTTGTGTCCTAACAGTTGTCGTCTCTTAGTATATTTCTAATCTAGGCATCTTGTTTTTTAGGGCCTTTCTTGTTTTTTTTCGCCCTCTCGCATTAGATTTAGGGTCTCCAAAGGATGTCATCCAAGAGCAATTATGACTGTTTCACTATGCACTACACCTAGGTGTTACTGCTAATAATACGGTTCCAAAACGTAAACTAAGTATGACATATTGTAAGAATCATTCTTGTCCACGTATCTTTACAGTTTGAAGCACTAAACGATGGGGGATGCGGGCCCAAACTGCAAATACAAACAGAGTGAACATCTAATATAAGCTGTATTATTGTCCTCTTCTTACCTTCCTCGTCGTAGAAAAGTTTGAAGCTGTCGCAGTGTTGATGGGCGAAGAACTGGCCCTTGATGACGTCAGCATGTCTGGTGACGACCTGCAGATAGCGCCTGTTGTATTCTGGGTAGAACCAACTCTTCCCCTTGTATCGTTCGAAAAACCCTGGTGGCACGTGACCAATCAGGAACACCTACAGAGGATATAATACTTTTAATGAAGCATATATTTTTGGTGACGCCTCAGGGGAGGGTCTAGTCGTAAGTGTGGACACAGCTGAACAGGCATTGGATGCTAGTATTTTAAGGGCAAGGACCACCTAAAGTTTGTTTATTGACATGTAATCAAAGAAATAAAATAAACAAACATAACCAACTCTTGCCCTTGTATCGTTCGAAAAACCCTGGTGGCACGTGACCAATCAAGAACACCTACAGAGAATATAATACTTTTAATGAAGCATATATTTTTGGTGACGCCTCAGGGGAGGGTCTAGTCGTAAGTGTCGTTAGTGTGGACAACAGGCATTGGATGCTAGTATTTTAAGGGCAAGGACCACCTAAAGTTTGTTTATTGACATGTAATCAAAGAAATAAAATAAACATAACATAACATATCATAACAAAGAGAGATGCGGGGGAAGATAAAAAGCCGTTATTTTCTGTCCACAATCTTCCCCTGACAACATAAATTGTATGATACATTATACATTGAAATTAATAAACAGTACAAATGACATTAACAACATATAATAGTGATTTTTGAGAACAAATAATTATTAAATAACGCAATATGACGGATATGATAGATAAAACATGATAGGACAGCAATATTTCAATAATGTTGTAAATGCGATTTTTGAATTAAGTTCTTAAGTTGTTTTTAATAGTCCTACATTTTCTGTGTCGATATGAGTAAACTGTACATACAGAAACAGAAGGAATAAAATCTCGGACCTTCTCATTGTCAGTTGCTGCCTGTTGCAGAACCCCCTCTAGCCAGGAAAACTGCCCGGCTGGGTCCGTATTATCATCAGTAGGCGCAGTCACCCTGTCGTTAGTGTAGTAGAACACGGTGTTCAGCCCAACAAGCCTGAGACCGGGGCTAATCGGCATCGTGTAGTAAGCACCTGAAGTGGCAAGGACAGATTTTTTCACAAAACAAAGTTGCAGTTGAAAAGAGAATACATATGCAGTCATGTAAATACACACGTCGTGTGCATACACACGAAGAGAAAGTGTTAAAATTTATCCCTGTCTGATTATGTAATTATACGCTGGTAATAACACGTAACTTCATTTGTAGCAAAGAAGTCAGCAGAAATTAAACATTTTTGGAAGATGTGAACACTTTTATGCCGACATATTGCAGATGTACAATGATCCATCAGATACAATCTAACATAATCATGACAAATATGTGACAAACCTTATGATTGTATATATATATGTATTTATTTTATTTATTCAACTTCACAGAAATAAAATTCTGAGAGGAGCCGGCAACAGGAACATAGAGTTCCTCTATTAGGCCGACTCCTCTAGAAACATAGACACAAAACAAACAAACAAACAACAATTAAAAAGAGTAATCAAATCAAATCACTAAACAATTATGACATCGACAGGTAGAGGTCCAGGTGCATAAGTTGTCGGTTGAAAATGTGTCATTTAGGCGAGATCTGTAGAACGAAATTAACAGTTTTTTAACAGACGGCAAGCTTAGATTTGAATACATGTGTTGACGTATGGATAATGGTAACATGTTCCAGATTACAGCAATTCGACTAAAATAGGAATGAGAAAAGGTTTAGGTTTTACATGGTCGCGGTACGAGTAGAAATTGGTCTGTTGAGCGGAGAGACCTAGTTGGTATGGATACAGTGAGCACACGAGATATGTTGATACAGTAGAAGTTTCAAAAACATTTGAACAAAAATAAAATGTCAAAAATTTCTCTTCTATAACACAATGGTAAAAGTTCAGTAATCACTAATCTGTCCTTATAACTAACTTCATAATTATTGCAGATATATTTGCTGGCAAGTCTTTGAACACTTTCTAGTTTACGCAGGTGTAACCTTGTATGTGGAGCCCAAACCTGAGAACAGTAGTCTAAATGTGGAATTACAAGTGAACGGTACAGATTTAGTTTAACAGTGAGGGGGCATTATAACCAACTGATCTCTTGATCATAGCAAGAATTGAGTTACATGTGGATACCTTCTTAACTACATGTGTGTTCCATATAAGGTTGTGTTGTACATGAATGCCTAAGTCGTTATAACAGTCAGATCGGTTTAGTACAGAATCAGCAATGCTATAAGAGTATTGAACTGGTGATAGTTTACGTGTAATGCTAACAACTGTACATTTAGAAGGATGAAATGTCATTTTCCATGCTTCCCCCCAGGCTACAAGGCGATCTAAGTCAGATTGGAATCTAATACAATCAAAAACTGAAGTGATTCTTCTAAAACATTTTGCGTCATCTGCAAACATGGCCATGCGCCCAAACTGAACACAATCAGGTAAGTCGTTAACAAATAACAAAAATAAAAACGGGCCTAATATAGATCCCTGAGGGACCCCTGACACCACCGGTAAGTACTCGGACACGTGACCTTCTACAACAGTTCTCTGAAATCGTCCAGACAGGTAGTCGCCAAATAGTGCAAGAAGTTGGCCGGAAAACCCAAAAGATCTTAATTTATGCACTAACAGTTTATGAGAAACACTGTCGAACGCTTTACAAAAGTCCAAATATATAACGTCGACTTGCCCAGATCTGTCCAGTACTTCACCGATTTCGTCATAAACTTCCAGAAGTTGAGTAGTGGTGGACTTACCTTTCATAAAACCATGTTGAAGGGGGTATAGGGCGTCAGATAATAATGGATAAAGGGAGTTGAAGACACATCTTTCGAATACTTTGCTAGTGATACATAATAAAGAAACTGGTCTGTAATTCGATATGACACTCTTGTCCCCCTTCTTAAACACGGGAGTAACATTAGCCCTTTTCCACATACTTGGAATTTGTGCATTACTTAGACATAGTTTAAAAAGTTTTTCCAATGATGGAGCTAACTGGCTTGCACATCTATTTAAAACAATAGCAGGCAAGTCATCAGGCCCTGTGGCCTTATTAACATTCAGGTTGGACAAAATTAGTTCAATACTCTTGACTGAAAACTGAACAGAGGAAATATCGGGAACTGTAGTGTTTACATTTAAGTCAGGCAACGTGGTTTCTTCATCCGTGTGGTTAAAAACGGAAAAATAGAACTTATTAAACATATCCGCCTTGTCCTGGGGAGACTCAGCACAAACATCTTGAAATTGCAGTTTATTAGGAAGACATTTAGACTTGGTTTTGACACGAAAAAATGACCAAAATCGTTTTGGATTTTTCAACAACTACATTACCTAAATCATTAACATACTTTGAATACTTGGTGTTCAGTGTTTTCTTCAAGATGTTTCTGAGACGTCTAAATCTGGCCCAGTGACATGGTTTGTTTGTCCTTTTAGCTTTAGCCCATGCAGTGCGCTTCCTTTTTATTAAGTGCCTCAATTCAGAATCGAACCATGGTGGAGAAGTTGAATCTTTTACGACTATTTTTGGAACGAATTTGTCCACAGCAGATTTAACTTCACATAACCACCTTTCCCAGATAGTATCTGTACAGAAATTGTCATCAATTATTTCAGTCAGAGGTAATGTCCTCAAATAATTGGCCAGGCCGACAAAGTCACCATTCTTGAAGTCGTAAACAAGTCGTGGCATCTTGGCCTTGGGATAATGTTGGAAGTCGACCTTGAAATATAATATGGAATGATCTGTGTCAAATTCAATTTCTATTTCAGATACATCCGAGAATTTATCTGGGAAATTACAAAAAACCAGGTCGAGTAAATTACCATGCCGATTAGATGGGATATAATTGATCTGGGTCAAGTGGAAATCGCCAATGATATCAATGAATCTATTAACTGATGCTACTTCGGCAATGTTCAGGGAAGACCAATCAATACCTGGTAAGTTGAAATCACCCAGTACGACATAATGCTGGTGTTTCCGAGAAACAAGTTCCAGTGTAGCATACAACTCAGAGGAGAAGTCAATGATATCTTGGTTAGGAGGCCTGTAACAGAGTATAATTACAACATTGGAGTGACAACTAGGACTAATAGTACAAACAAGTATTTCACTGGAAAGAGGCTCAAGTTCAGGTCTATGCTGGGCTTTTAAGTCACTAGCGATTGCCAGCAGGACTCCGCCACCTCTTTTTCCAGGATTAATAGAATTTCTGTCCCTACGGAAAATCTGGTAATCACTAAACGGTAGGAGTTCAGTGTCCTGAATCGACGGTCCTAGCCAAGTCTCTGTGACACCGATGACAGAAGGGTGTAACACACCGGCCAAGTTCTGAAACTGTACAAGTTTGTTACGTGATCTATTAACGGAGCATAAACTCCTTGCGTTTAAGTAGCAGAAAGAGACATGAGTCTTATGAGTTCTTGTAGCCTGAGCTTGTTCACTTGACTCTGGTTGCTATTCGCCCACCGAGTTAGACGAGAGTCTTGATATCGATCGAGTGATGACGCCGCGAGAGGAACGTACCAAAGGGACAGCGGCCCCAGGGGGACAGCGGGAGCTACTAGTCGGAGTGTCCTTGTCGTCGTTCTCAGCCGCACAGTCCTCGATGAAATCATCGTCACGATCGGGAGGGCTAGTTGCAGACCTGGTTGACTGGGATTCACCACACGTTGTTCTTAAGTCCAAAGGCGGCTCATCAGTAGATGCCTCGACTAGAGGCTTTTTCGGTGCCGACGACAGCTGATCGCCTGACACACGGGATCGCTTTTTGTTGTTCCGGGTACCACGCCTAGACCTTCCGCAGTCGCTGACGGGACGACTGCGCTTCTCCGTATGGATGGTCACTCCGCCACTGGGATTAGAACGACGCGTCAGTACTGGAGGCGTGACCGAGAGTATAGCTGAGTCGAGTTCAAGGTCAACTAGTGGCTGGAAGCGATTATTGATGTGCAAGGCCGGCTTGACGTAGGTGTCGAATGCCTCATTGATGACGTCGCATGAACTACGAGTCTCGGGACTGAACTCCACGGTACGTTCTGCTTCGTGAACGCGACCTCGGGATCCCCGAACCCTTTTCCACTGATCGCGACAGTTGGCCTTGACGTGGCCTTGTTTGCCACATACGAAGCACGTAACCATGGGACATGCATTTGACGCATGATCCAAAGACTTACAGCGTCGACAGTTGACGAGCTGGTCTTTCCCACAGAACACCTCAAGGTCGATGTCCATACAGCTGAGGGGGTCAAGTGGGTGGGGAATAGACATTGTTGTGTGCCTTGGCGGTAGCTGCCCTGTAGCCTTGCTAATATAGCAGAAGCGATGACCGGATCTCAAGTGTTTAAACATCTCACTGTTGGTCTTCACGGTATGCCTCTCAATGGGGGTTTCACGAATTGCAAAGCTATCGACCCACTCAGCGACGACAGCGTCCGGAACGGAATGAAACACGCCATGAATAGACACACGGGTCAGCGGTGGTGGTTTTGCCAACGGCGTGCTTACAAAGTCAAGCAGTTTTAGGTCCTTTCCCTCAAGAGTGATATGAGGATACTTGAGAACATGCTCCTTGCTCTGTCTAGATGACAGGTTGATTATGATCATAGGCAAGACAATCTGGACACCCAGTATGTCCGAGGGTGCAAGCAAGCTTTTATCCCTCCCTTGTAGCAGCGACATAGCAACGTCGACTTCACTTGGTTTCATGCCGGGTCGAGCGTATAACTTAACCCATAGGTTAGTGTCCTGAAGCTTGTCGAGGCATGGATCTTCGACAGCTAACCTCACCTGACTGGGGACAGACATGGTGCTGCGTATCTTGAATCCAGGTGAACGTAAACAAAGGCCCGGCGGCAGCCCTCCCCAGCGTCAGGAGTTGACAGGAAACCGATGCTCGAATTTCCCACAGAAAATGGACAAAATCCACCGAGATCGTCTTCTTATAATCCTTTGATGATAGACTGACCTGTTGACTACTCGATATTACACAGATGACGTGTTCGGGAGGAAATAAACACACTTAACAAGTGAAAACGTCGGGAGCTAGCGAAAAACGCACCTCCTGATATCCTGGTTATCTGGCCGGCGGTAGTAACACTCGCGGTGCTTACCGCAACTGTTGCTGGAATTTTGCCTGTTCCAGGCGCGCTTAATTAGGTACAGGCACGGTAAGACGGTGGGGCCGTCTTTGTTACTAGACACGACCATGATAGTCCGATCTTTATGTCAATGCAATGATTGTGTGTGTGTAATTAAAATGAACTTCGAACTTGAAGCACAGTATCTTTACAAGCCCTGGGAGCAGTAATGGATTTAGCTCTTTGTATGTTTTATGCTTGTGACGCGCCCTCATTGTATTAACCGTTGCCTAATTATAATGTCTGCACAGTAGGTCTGGCGTTGACGCTTGGGATTTTGTTGAAATATATAAAACTTCACGGAGGATTGTCGCTTATGGCTTCTTGTTAGCTATCATTAATTAGTAAACTCTTTATGCATGTGTTTCTTTATGAAAACAATTTGATCCATTGGAAGGCAACGTGCACAACAATACTTGAATTCAGTGAATTCAGCACCTGGGACAGGGCGACCTTATTTTCTTGCCCACTCAGGCAAGAGAAGGTGCAGCAACAACAAATTGGAGACCTCATACCGCAATGAAATGTTTAGAGCTTTTGCAAATATTTCTGTTTTTTTTTATTTGTGTCATTGATTATGAAAATAAGGTTGTAGTTAGCGAATCTAAATAACTTATGGTTTTGTAAACTCATATAACTCATACTCATATTTTGTATGTTTAAGTCATTTACCATCATTTGGCATGGTATAATATAAAAGGGGGCTGTGATGCAAATCAAACCTGCTCCTGGAGCAACACGGCAGCTCAAGAAGCACACGGAGACAGAATTTGGCTAGTGTCAACACACTGTGACTAGCGATAATCTGACATTGGGGTCAACATGGCCTGTAACAGACACATAGACAAGCCGATAACACAATACCTCCATTTTTCATTGAGGTAATAAGACGTACTAAATGTTGCCAAAAAGGGTCAACTTTCCTATTTCTTCAGCCTGCAAATGAGTCTGGTGGATACTAGGTTAGGCCATCCTGATTTGATAAATTGGCTGGCACCACAAAACTAAAATAAAATAGTTGCCTTTTTTTAATCTACGAGGTCAGAAATGTTGAACAAATGACAGAGCACACGGGGAATGGTAACGTTATACCAAACAATAAATTCTTTACTTTTGTTCTTTTACATCTTCTCTGACTTCGAAAGACTTGGTGGTGTAAGCAAGTGGTAAATCGAGACCTGCTTCCATTTTCCTGGTATCTTGTTTCTTCAGGCCTCTGTCATCCTCAAGTACTAAAACGAAACAGAATTACGGCTTTTCTTTTTGGGACTGGACGAAAATTAATGCGCGCGGATGCCATCTATATAATCAAGTCAGTGTGGCCTGACAGGAATGTGGTAAACACAAAACGCTTGCAACATCTACACGGCAGTACAAATGTATATATATTAGCATGTATATTTAAAGTTAAAACTTGTAGACGATGTCGGCCCTACATTGAACCGCGACCGGAGCCGACATCGTCTACCAGATACCTTTGACCCAGTGCAGTGTTGACGTCACACTTCAAAGAAACCACGTGACAAGCTTCACTGGGTCAGTCTACTGAGGAAGACCAGAGTGACTGGTCGAAAGCTCTAGGTGAGAGAAATTTTTGTGTTGGACCAAAAGTTTTAACTTTAAATATGTAACTACCAACACATATAAACCTACATGAAAATATCAGGAGCTTTACTATACTATAGGGCCACTGCAACTGGTGCTGGAATATGCGGAACACGGGAGTCTCCTTCACCTGCTGTGGACGTTACGTGCGGAGTCCAAAATCAACAGGACCGTTCTGGTCAAGAAACGGCACATCTTCGAGAACATGATGGTGGGAGTCTGCTGCGGGCTGGAGCACCTGGCGAGCGAAAGGGTGGGAATTTGTACCAACAATTTCATAGTCAGATATCAAAATGTGCCGCTGTGGCTACGTATACATTGGTCATCTTACGTTAATCAATGGGGCGCTTTGTAACATTTTTGCATTTAACAAAATTGTAACTGAGTCCTCCTCTTATGGACTGTTATATATTATCTCACATTTTGACGCTGAAACTGCTGAAAACGCTGAATATATAT